GTTCTTTGCGTCATTTTGTAGCCAATAATAAATATAAGAATGAAAAATTCAATCCCATATAAAAATTTCAAGTGGATTGGTAACACAATTGATGTTCCGTTAATATTTGATGATTCAGATATCGGTTATATCTTAGAAGTAGATTTAGATTATCACAAGGATCTTCATGATCTTCATAATAACTTACCCTTTTGTAATGAAATTAGTACCCCCCCAAATGGAAAAACAAAAAATTATTAACTAATTTAAACAATAAGAAAAATTATGTAATCCGCTATAGAAATCTTAAGCAGCGTCTTGAAAATGAATTAATTTTGAAAAAAGTACATAGAGTTTTACAATTCCAACAAGGTAATTGGTTAAAAAAATACATTGATTTAAATACTAATTATAGAACAAATACTCAAAATTCTTTTGAAAAAAACTTTTTTAAATTAATAAATAACTCCGTGTTTGGTAAAACCATGAAAAATGTTGATAACAGAAGAGTAGTGTATGTTGCTGATTCTTAGCAACATACTCTAAGCCACTTAGGACTTAGAGCTCTAATAACAACCCCTAATTTTAATAGCGTTTTAATTTTTAAATCTAATCTAGCAGTTGTAGAATTAAATAAAACAAAAGCAAATTACAATAAACTAATCTACATATATAGGTTTTACAATTTTAGATCAATCGAAAATGTTAATGTATAACTTTCACTATAATTTTATGAAACCAAAGTTTCAAAATAATTTAATGCTTATTTATATAAACAGTGATAGTTTTATTTACACAATCACTACAGATGATTTTTATAAAGATATAAGACCATATTTAACATATTATTTTGACACATCAGATTATGAAAAAGATTTAATAAGACCATTTATATAGTGTTAATTATTTAAAATTAGAAGATTACAAATATGCTTTACTAAATAATTTAATAATATGAAGGTTTTCACATTCAAACTACACTCTATTTATACTCAAAATCTTAATAAGGTAGTTTTAAGTAATGCAGATGAAAAAAGATATATTTTAAATGCTAAAGTAAATATATACGCTTGGGGGCATTATGCTTTAGAAAATTAACGGTAGAAATTACTTTATAAGAAATGTATTAAATATGGCATATAAATTACATAAGATTGTTGAAAAATATTGCATTGTGTTTTGTCACAAATCTTTTTGTTTTCAGATGAAACAATTACACCGCGTAAGCTTTAAAAAGGAAAAAATCATTTCATAAATTACATAGTCTAGACCTAACCTTTTGTTTTCAAGAAGCAAATAGATCTCGAAACGTGGTGCTGTGTTATCAATATTTAAAAAAATAATTCTAAACTGTATTATCAATATTAAAAACTAATTCTTCTCGTAACGTGGTGCTGTGTTATCAATGTTTAAATGGTTATAGATGTTAAAATAATTCTAAACCTACCTTTCAAGCTTTAAGAACTTTTTTTATTTGAAAAAGATTTTAAATTTAACATCTTTTTTAAAAAACTTACAACATTAACCGAGACCACAACCTTTCTACATATATTGCATACTTCATTTTAAATATTAAATACTTCAATCAATATTTAAAATAAAAAATAGTTCTTACTTACAATTTTACCTACTTTTAACCGAGACAACAACTCCTCTACAAATATTGCATACTTCATTTTAAAAATCGAAAAACTAATTCAGACTCGTAATAAATACAACTAATTCTACTCGTAACGTGGCGCTCTACTATCAATCATACTTCAAAATGCTTACTTTCATTTTCATCATTGCATATCCTTAGCGTCACACTCCCGCTTACTTTTACATTAAACAACAACCACAAGTGCTATCCTAAATGTATGCAATAATGCCATATAAAGAACCCCATATACTTTATATCTAGAACCCCATATTCATTGTTGCATACTTCTAGGATTACACTTAGGTCTAGAACCCCATATATAATATTGCATACGTTTAGGATGTCACTTCCTCCCATATTTTTACTACCCCCCATATTTTTACTACTGCTCGCCAATTAGTTTCGGTAACAACCAGAACTGAAATATCAAATTTCAAAAAATTCCATCAATTCTTTCCGTATATATGTTAAAAAATGTATATGCTCATTTTAATACGAACAATTTAAATATTAAATTTAAATAAAATCGGTTGATTATTTCTTATTATATACGCAAAAATGTATATTTGGCCTGTAGTAAATGTCCAGTCGCTGACGCCTGATTTCCTCCAAAAGTTAAGTGGATCCGCGGACAGTCGAGCGAGTATATGAAATTTCAAGTAAATCTGTTGAATATTTTCTTCATAATGATCAAAAATGTAAAATAGGCCCGCTAAGAAATACAGTTCCCGAGGCCTGATATATCCCAAAAGTTGATCAATCGGCAATAGTTTTCAATTAATAGTCGAAATAAGCTTACATATAAAATTTCATCAAAATCGGTTCAGCCGAACTTGAGATACACGCGTGCAAACACAGACAGACAGACCAACAGAACGATAGGGCAACAAAAATAGCTTATTTATACTTCCCCAGCATAGAGAAGTGCGTTCCCATTTAAAACTCGATATGCAAAATTTGTTGCCATCACATAACCTGCCTATTGTATACACAATGCGATCGGTAAAAAATGAAAACCATACTAATTAAATGAAATGTATCAAATTTACCTGTTAACATAAATAAAATTAGTGTTATAAGTGTAAGGTGTAATATTATACAAGGATTATATATTAATAATCAGGAGGCATATATTCTTCATAGGATTTCCTATAGAAGTTCCCCTAGAATATAAAATAATTGAAGTTTCCAGAAATCTTATTTACTTCTAGCTCCCAATCAAACAAGTTCGATAACTACACAACTAATTGATCAGGACGGAAATTTAATTGATTTTCAAGGTGAAACATAATAACACTGTAATAACATACCAGCAAGGAAAGAAGCCAAACGTCGCAAATCAATAATTCAACCACTAACTGTAAGCACTCAAATCTACATAAGGTTTTAACCACTGAGATTGTTTTAAATCAAGTATTCTATGAATTTTCGTTTTTTTTAACCCATGTTTTTTATTATTAATTTTAAATTTTGATAATGTGTAACGTGTTTAGTTTTATTATAAAGAGTACCTATCAATTTGGTTTGCTTTAATTTAATAAAAAGACGTTCAGGGCAAAAGGAAAGGTTTTTATGTATTGAATGTACCACATCAGGGTACTCAATCAAATTCTTAAATGTATCCAGTGTCTGAGATATCATGAACCTCCTAAACTTTAAAATTATCAAAGTTTTCAACCCATTTGAATCCCTTATAAGGTAAATATAAACACATCGACCAAGCCATGTTCGTCATTGACATCGTTATACAAAAAAATGTTGTAGGCTTGGAAGGATTTGCCATTCATATGAATTTGACATTCATATAAACATTATTTGCTTTAGAATAACATTTAGAACATTGATTAAGACCCACATGAATTCTCTTTTCAATAAACGTTATCATATCAAGCCGTGTAATATAAACATTACTCTTAGAAATATTACAATTTTTACCGACCATATTGTGAATACAATAGATAGGTTATGTGAAGGCAGCAAATTTTGCATAACAAGTTTTCGATAGGAAAGCATTTCCCCATGGTAGAGAAGTGTAACTTAACTATTTTTACCAACCTGTCCGTCTGTCGGTCCGTGTGTGGACGAAATGTTAATGAAAATTTATATGTAAGTTTATTTCGACTATGGCACGGATTGATAAACTTTTGGAATATATCAGGCTTCGGGAACTGCACTATTTAGCGGGCCTGTTTTACATTTTGATCATTATAAAAAAATATTCAACAGATTTACTTAAAATTTCATATATAAGCTACGGCCGACCGCCCGCGAAACCTCTTAACTTTTGGAAGAAATCAGGTGTCAGCAACTACGGGCCAAATATACATTTTTGCGCATATAAAGAGAAATAATTAACCGATTTCTTTGAAATTTATTATTTAAATTCTTCGTATTAAAACAATGAACATATAAATTTTTTGAAAAAATCAGAACTTGGGAAATTTCTTGAAATTTGATACTTGAGGTCTGGAAACTACCGAAACTAACTGGCGATCATTCAGGGAATTCAGTTGGCACAAAGCGAAACTCTACTAAGAACCAAATTTACACTTTTCTAGGTATGTTAAGTAAAAACTTAACGTCCTAAAAATTGGAAAGAAGTATTTAAAAGGCATTTTTGTAATATTTCGTAATACTTTCACTTTACTAGACAACGCACATTGCGGTCGGTTATGTGCTAAGTGCATCCGATTTTTTATTTAATTATTGAAAATCTTCAGTGACGGTTTCGATTTCTTGATTCATTTTTAAGACTTTCGTATATGTTCTAATTATCTATTATTTATTTTCTCACATGTACACATATTATTACCTAATCATATATTCAAAAAAAAAAACGTTGTACAATAACCGAAAACTTTAAATTTTTTTTTAACAGTTTAACCTACAATAGTCATTCAAAAACCACAACTTGAGCATTATAACATTTTGATATTCTTTACTAAACAAAACCAAAATAATAAAATCATTTTTTTATTACTATCACAATTTCAACCAACTAACCTCAGCTCTAACCCCAGCCCCCACCACTATTAACGCAACCGTCAACATCGTACAAGGCGATTATCATTATACCATACGATCGTAGATAAAACAAAGTGCCAGAATTTTGTATGGAAGTGGCCCAGAAATTATTTCGAAAACATTTCATTAATATAATCCTATTTCAAGTTCGAAAATATATTTATTAAAGGCAATATTTAGAGCATTAATAAAATACTTATAACATGTAATATGACATTTGTTTTAAGTTTGTCGTTGAAAATTGAATGATTTTGCATCAATTATTCTGATTCAGATGGAAGGTTACAAATGAAGCGCGTTGCGTAGCGTAAGTTTGTTGTTATTTAGAACTAAAAATTTAAATATTTATACTTACACTTCCAAAATACTTATCAAGAAGTTCAACATATCTATGTATGATTTCCAGAGTTAAAAGTTCATTATCATTTTGTTCGATAGCGCAACAGAAGTAAAGGCTAGCATATCTGCAATTAAAAGAAATAAAAATTATTCCTTGACCATGCTACGGAACCATCTAATTTTTTATTGTATTCAAGACCTTTTTTTAAATTAATGTTTTTTCTCATATTTAAGGCGTAATTCAATTTCAAAATGACCAAGAAATGAAAATATTACATACACACTTAATTTTTATTTTATATAAAAAATAGTGCAAATTTGACTTTTTTTTAATTCTAAAGTTATTTTCTTTACAAAAATAAAATATCAAGATCAATTTTACCTATCATCAAGCATTTACCTGTAATTGAATATGTTTCCAAAATTTATTTTAATTACATCAAAAAAAGCGTAGAGCTATCTTCATTCCTCGAAATCAGCCACCTTACAATCGAATTATTTCGGAAACGGTGCATCGCACAAAAAAAATTGGTAAAAGGTAATTTTAACAATTTCCAACTCAAAATCTTTAAAATTGTAAAAATCAATAAAATTAAGAGGGTAAATTCAAGAGGGAAAAATTTAAGAGTAGGAAGCCAAAATATAACTAGTTCAATTCGAATCAAATCAGACACCAAAAAGAATAAAGTTGGGTCAAACTAATGGTTTGTATTGTAGCACTTTTCCCTTCAACAAGTGAAAATTCTGCTTTTAAATACAGTCCATGTATACCTATCACACTATAAAAATTATTTTCATTCATATACAAAACTATTTCTAGGATTGCATATATTTAGGATGACGCATATATGCAGTCTTTGAAATAAAGCAAAAATTAACATAAAACAAGTAAAAACGTTTCAGTCGGTATAAACCGATTGAATTATACCCTGCACCTTTCGTTATTGTGTAGCAATTACTCGAACCTGTGAAGTCATTCTATAGAAACTTCACGGATATGTCTGACCTATAATTGGACATCCGACTGCCAAGTTTCATGAATCTGACTTTATAATTTTTCCAAATATTTAAAATTAGCTTTTGGAGTTGTTTGGCAAGTCCCCGAACCTGTCAAGCAATTCCACTAAAACTTCACAAATATATCTGATCTATAATCGGACACACAACTGCCAAGTTTCATGGATCTGACTTTATTATTTTTCCAAATATTAAGAATAAGCTTTAAGACTTGCATGGGAGCTACTCGAACCTGTCAAGCAATTCCACTAAAACTTCAGATATATCTGACCTATAACTCGACAGAAAACTGCCAAGTTTCATGAATCTGACTTTATTATTTTTCCAAATATTTAAAATTAGCTTCTGGAGTTGTATGGTAGGTACCCGAACCTGTCAAGCAAATCCTTTAAAACTTCACAAATATATCTGATCTATAATCGGACATCCAACTGCCAAGTTTCATGAATCTGACTTTATTATTTTCCCAAATATTTAAAATTAGCTTCTGGCGTTGTATGGGAGGTACCCGAACCTGTAAAGCAATTGCTCTAAAACTTCAGAAATATATTTGACCTATAATTGGACACATGACTGCCAAGTTTCATGAATCTGACTTTATTATTTTGCGGAATATAAAAAATTTGCTGTTGGAGTTGTATGGCAGCCACCCGAACCGGTGCAGCTATCCCATTATAATTTCTAGAGCATGTGTAGAATATAATTGGACACGTGTATACAAAATTTTATATTTATAGCTTTATTAGTTTTTGAAATATTTAAAATAAACTCTTTGAGTTGTATGGCAGCTACCCGAACCCGTTGTCCGAATTAGTCCAATAACAATAGGGCTCGTCCTTGGCATAAAAGAAAAAACTTGTGAAAGTTTGGTGTCGATTGCATTATTCGTTTTTGAGTTATCGTGCGATCGGACGGACGGACGGACGGACAGACGGACATGTCTAAATCGACGCAGAATTTTACGCTGAGCAAGAATATATATATATGTCCATACCGCAGATGACTCAAGTAGTTACAAACTCCATACCAAAGTTAATATACCCTTCACGAAGTGCAGGGTATAAAGAGGTTAACATAATGCTCGATTTTAAGGGTTAATTGTGTGAGATAAGAAAAATAATTATATTTTTTAGTTTCATGCAATTTACCGTTAGCTTTTTGAGTTTATAAAAATTTGGAAAAGCTTGCGGTTTCGGAAATATAAGGTGTCAAAAATTCAAATTTTACGAATTTCAAGAGGTGATAACTTGAGAGGGGGTGAAGATGGAAAAAAATTTTCTTCTAACGAAATGAACTATTTGTTAATGTCTAAAAGTCCCTAAATTTTAAAGTTCTAGAGTATGGGGTCTAGAAGAAAAACGACATCAAAAATTTGGAAAAAAAGGACTTTAGGTAACGGTACATTTGAAAGGCCATTTTGTTTTTCTAAAGTTTAACTATAGTATACCGCGCTAGAAGAAGCAAGCCGCTGTCTTTCTGCGTTTGCAAAATTTCAAAAATGCTTATGGTTTCATTGCAACAAATATTAAAAAAAAACCATTTTTATGGTTCTGGGGGGGTATAACTTCTAGCGGGGGGGAGATCTATGTACGTTTGAAATTTCAGCTTTTTATCATCAAGGGTTTAGAAGTTTTGTAAACAAAAAAAATGTCCACGGACAGACGGACAGAGTGAAACTAATAAGCACTTTTTCCAAAAAATTTTTTGGAAAAGTGCTAAAAACTAACGACTAGCACAATAACATATGATATTTTAAGTAGCATTCGTATTTAGCTAATTGCGTTATTTAGTATAGAATTAATTGCAGCGGAAATATCAAAAATTTTCTGTCGTGGAAGTAGTTTTAACACGCATTACGAATTAATTTGACTTTTTGGTCAAAATGTTTTTTTCCTGTAAACTTTGGAAAATATGGAAAGAAGTATAAAATTTTCATTCTGAGAAACTTCAGTAGCTTTAAACAAGTAGAAACGTTTCAGTCGGTATAACCGACTGAATAATACCCTGCACTTTGACAATCTGAGTTTTTACCCTGTAATTCAGTAACCTTCCATTTGGAAGACAAGAAAGATTGTCTGCGCTAAAAATTGCATTTTTTAATTATAATAAAAATTGTGTTTTTTCAGATAGAATTTACCAACTGATTTTTTTTCAAATTTAAATTTTAAATTTCAAAAAATATGTAGAATCAGTAGAGCTAAAAATATTGGTTAATTTATTTCCTTCCGACACATCTTCCATTTAAGTTCCATATAAATTTGGAATTTATTTTTAATTTGCTCTCTGAGCCTGATAGCCCTGATAGATATATATGTATGTCATTATATTAGCTCTAATAAAAGATGAAAACAATAGTCGCATAAAATGTATGTAGAAAATATAGGCTGTACTAAAAGGCTAAAGGAATTAAAAAACAAATTATGAAACAAGACATAATTGTCAATGATTATATCGAATGCTTGAATTCTAACATTGAAAAGAGCATTAATCAAAATATTATAGTCTTACAAAAACATAATGTAAACACACTTAGCCAGACTAAAGCGGCATTAAATCCTTTTGATGGTAAACGTTTCAGAATAGGTTCTAGTTTTAAAACGCTTCCGTGGGGTCATTTTAATACAAGAAAAACATAACAAAAATCCAACCTAATATATTGAATGAATTACGATCATAAAAAATTGCCGATTTTTACCGACCGTATTGTGTAAACAATAGGTAGGTTATGTGATGGCAACAAATTTTGCATATCGAGTTTTCGGTGGAAATGCACTTCTCCATAGTAGGGAAGTGTAAGTAAACTATTTTTAGCAACCTGTCGGTCCGTCGGTCTATCGGTCTGTCGGCCTGTCGGTCTGTCGGTCCGTCGGTCTGTCGGTCTGTCGGTTTGTGTGTGCACGCGTGTATCTCAAGTTCGGCTGAACCGATTTTGATGAAATTTTATATGTAAGTTTATTTCCACCATGGCACGGATTGATCAATTTTTGGTATATATCAGGCCTCGGGAACTGCACTTTTTAGCGGGCCTGTTTTACATTTTTCACCATTTTGAAGAAAATATTCAACTGATTTACTTGAAATTTTATATATAAGCTCCGCTCGGCCGTCCGCGAAAATTCCTATGTTTTGGAAGAAATCAGGCATCGGCAACTAGACGTTTACTACGTGCCAAATATACATTTTTGTGTATATAAAGAGAAATAATCAACCGATTTCATTGAAATTTAATATATGAATTCCTCGTATTAAAACAATGAATATATAAATTTTTTGGAAAGATCAGGGCTCGAAAACTGATTTGCGTGCCGATTTTACATTTTTCACCATTTTGAAGAAAATATTCAACCGATTTACTTGAAATTACATATTTGAGCTTTGCTCGACCGTCCGCGAAAATTCTTAACTTTTGGAACAAATCAGGCATCAGCAACTAAACGTTTACTACGGGCCAAATATACATTTTTGTGTATATAAAGAGAAACAATCAACCGATTTCATTGAAATTTAATACTTGAATTCCTCGTATTAAAACAATGAACATGTATTTTTTTTTGTAAAGATCAGGGCTCGAAAACTGATCTGCGGGCCGAATTTACATTTTTCACCATATCTACGGAACGAATTGATGGAATTTCTTGAAATTTGATATTTGAGTTCTGGTTGTTACCTAAACTAACTGGCGAGCATTTCAGGGAATTCGGGTAGCATAAAGCGAAACTCTACTAAGAGCCGAATTTACATTTTTCTAGGTATGTTAACTATTAGCTTACTAATGTCCTAAAAATTGGAAAGAAGTATTTAACAGACATTTTTATAATATTCTGTAACACTTTCTTTTAACTAGACAATACACAATGCGGTCGGTTATTTGCTGACCACATCAGATTTTTTCGCTTCACTTCTTAAGTGAATATTTAAATCTGTGTAAGGTTTCAACCACTGAGATTGTTTAAACTCAAGTATTCTATGAATTTTCGTTGTTTTCACCCCAGGCTTTATTACACCTGTTCGAACGTATTTTCGAAGGGTATACTAAATTTTCCTTACCGTGTGTAACGCTAAGAAATAATGGTCTGAGATATAGACTCAAGTGTATGTTTTTGATCGG